CAGGGCGACTTAGTAGAACGCACCTAGTCCGAAGTCGTCTACCATAGTAGTTGTCATGATTCCCAGCATCCGACTAGGTGCGTTTTACTAAGTCGCCCTGACAACAAGACCAAGTTGCGACGAGGTCAACCCACTTCTATAAATCGAATCGAGACTGCGAACATACCAGAGGCTACAACATCTTGCTATTCATATCTTCAAAGGGGTAGAAAATTAAACTTAGATTAGAACCAAAGCCGAGCATGTTGGCAGAAGCACCTTCTTTATGTAGGTGGCTCAACTCACTCTATTTCCCTAAACTGCACACAGGTTGAAAAGTTTAGCCTCATTGCTGCACAAGAATTCAAAGGGGACTTGAAATAAGGAAACCCTTCTGAGGAAAATTATACCAAGGTTAAGGCGTAAGGAGGTGTGTATATATTTTTGGGGTGAAGAGCAAATCTGAGGGAGGATAGAGGAAAGGTGTTTGGAAAGAATGGGTGAAAAGGGAGTCAAAAGGGTAAACAAAGTCGCCTCAAGAGTGAAGCCAAATGGCAACAATGTAGCACTAATACTTACAAAGCCAGACGGCCTCCAATTGTCCAGATCACTATCTTCTGAGAACACCGGCTTGTCCTCGTCTGAATCATCCTGGCTCCCTTTGTCTTTTAGCTCCTCCTCATTGTCCTGAGTCCCAGTCAACTCGTCGTCCTTGTTCTCAAAGAGCAGAGACATCAATTTGTCCTGCTTCACCGGATCCCAATCCTCTTCCTCAAGTAGAGAGAAGATGACTTCTTGGTGTGCCATTTTGGTTGCTTTACCCTCAGGGCCCACCTCAACGTCAGGCTTCCGGATAGAAATATCCTTTAGGTTTACTTGTTTCGAGGACGTCGACTGTCGGACCGAGGAAGAATCTACCTCACAGGAACGTCTAATTCGAGCCAGTTTATCGGCGTATTCTTGCATTTTCAACTGCCTCAGACGGGCCAGATCGGCCAATTTAGCAGTTTTCTCAGCCTCTTTGCGTTCACGACGAAGCCTGTCCTTTTCGGCACGAGAAGGCTTTAATTGCTGCCGGAGACTAGACTGGGGGTGGCGAGGGTATGTCTTCAACTGAAAGATGGGATAAAAAGAGAGTATGATTCGTAATAGAAAAGCACGGAAATTCGATTATAATTTCATATTATTACAATCGCTAATACAAACATCACCCAAACAACCTCTAAAAATAACTCATCCATGATTTCCAGTGTACAGGGGCCAAAATGTAAAAGTTGAATCTAAAAGATCTTGTGATAGAATTACGTAGTTAGGGAATTCGGCTTAAATACATCTGCCTTGAATCATTGTTGAGCTTACTTCCATTTCGAGTGAGCGTTGGGTGAAGAGATTCTAAGGTTGGTTCTACCAGAAGACGACGGCGGATTCCTCTTGACTAGCTGTAGATTGGCTTTACTGAAAGACTCTGACTCTGTTTCCAAGGCAATCTCCTTCAATTCCGGTGAAAAGGTGCTAAGCTTTCGTTCGTCATATGACAGACATCATCAGAGCGAGGTAACATCGTCACAACAAATTTGAAGCTAACGAGTCAAGAAAACTCACCGGCAAATCCCTATAAAGGGGTATATATACTCTACATCTGGCCTCTTTGATCAAGTATAAAGTGATTTGGTTAGTTAAGGTCATATGACAACTTCGATGCATGCAAGTGTGTCTGTCTCTGTATTTGTATGTGCTTTATCAAGGAGGCCAGAGGTAGAGTATATATACCACTTTTTAGGGATTTGCTGGTGAGTTTTCATCACTCGTTAGCCTTAATTTTGTTGTGACGATGTTACCTCGCTCTGATTATATCCGTCATATGACGAACGAAAGCTTAGCATCTTTTCACCTGAATCGAAGGAGATTGCCTCGGAAACAGCGTTAGCATGAATCTTC